TTTTTTTTCTCTTTCACCAACACACCCCGAGTTAAAAAAACACACTACAGATGAGAAATTAATTGTCGCGAATCTGCCCCGCATCTCGACAAATTGCGTTTTTTTTTTTTTCTTGTCCATCTCTCGAGCCAAGCAGGAGATTTTTTTGGCAAATTATCGAGAGAGGCTCTTTGCTAATAAATTATCATTTAAGAAACGGTTACGCCGCTTTTCGATCTCTTTCACGGAAATAAGCGGCGTAACGCGCTCTCTGTGATAACATAAGAGATAGTCAAGGCGCATTCTGCTATGAAAAAAAAAAGAAGATTAAAGAGCCCTAGATTCAATGCAACACATTACAGCGGCATTGATCTGAAAGATTTTATATTGTCTCTTTATTGTATAAAACCCACATACCGCCACGGTTCAATGACACGATGCGTGCACTTGAGAATATTTAGTTTACCTTTGCAGACACTAATCCGCCGGTTATTTCAGGTAATTTAGTGATATCACATAAGCATAGTCGGCAACAACACATTAATTCACTCACTCTTTGACTAAACATTTCAGGTGAGCTTAGCCAGATAATGCAACGACACGTAGGCGCGACTCAGAAAATTGCCAATTAATTTCCACATACTTAATGTCCAATCACTGTTAATGAAAACCAATGTAATCCAAATGTTTCGGAACCCCCGAGTCCGTGCTGCCCTTCCAGCACCAGGAAATAAAAAATAAATAATTACACAAATTGAAAGGACTGTTATTTAAGAAGGCTGGAGGCTGTGGAGGAGGACTGCAGTCAAATAAGTTCTTGTTAGTTACTGAAGGACAGAAATTGGCCTTGGAAGGTGTGGACATTTCCTTTCAGCTTTCAATAATGAATTTGTACGTTTTTTTTTTTTTCTCCCTCCTCCGAGAGACCTTGTAAACACATTTGAGAGCTGTGTTTTTTTTCTCTCTCTTTCTCTAGAATGAAAAAAAAAAGAAAGTTTGTGTGTGTCCGTCTGAGAAGGCTGCGCCATTATTAATGCAAGATAGGTTCAATATGTTTGAGTCTCTTCTAGTCGAGCTGAAAGCAGAAGAAACCCTTTGGGAGAAAAACATCTATCCACCGCTACACCGATAACAAAAACACAGACGCGCGTTTTGTTTGGCTGCTCGGGATCAACATCCAGTTAAAAAGTCAGTTTTAAAAAAAAGAATCACAACTTATAGTATCGATAATATCGGCATCGCTCGCCAGAGAAGTCATCCTTTTTTTAAATTCAGCTATGCAGACATGTCAAGCCTTGGATTCTCTCTGCACCATGTTCTAGCAGAGGTGTTTTTATCCTTTCCAAAATCAAAAGCAGAAGCACAGAAAGCAGCTTTAACATATGATCCAAACTCTTGCATATCTTCTTAAACTGCAGAGGTAAACAAATGCTTCTATCAGATCCTCATGGCTCCGTCCTGCTCCGTACAGATGTTAGCACCAAACACACTGACTGGAACATTCTGTTATAATCCTACATACATCTCAATAAAGGAAGGAGTGTGTGTGTGTGTGTGTGTGTGTGTCTGTTCGCTGTATATCTCAAAAACTATACATCTGATCCACTTCAAACTGGGTGGGTGTATCACCGGGGACCCGAGGATGTGCAGTGTTGAGTTTGAAGTTTCGCAGGTTCTCAGCAGGGTTGCTGCCGCTTGTGGGAGGATGCTAAGTTGCTCGATGCTAGGCAACATCATCAAAGACGAACGTATATCACAGGATGATCTCAAAATCAGATAAGAGCCATACAGACTCTTTGTAATTAATGTTGCAGCTACTTTTTTAAAAAAAACAGCCACGTACGGCATCACAATATGAAATGATGTAATTACATTTGCATGGCTTGTTAGTGTGTTTGCTGTTTCACTGGTAATTACAACCAAATAGTGTGTCGGCATTCACTTAATTACCTTTACCAATTTCACATAACTTGTCCTACAGCGAGCACAAAAACACAGTTTGATCTTACAGTTTCCCCTGTCATACTTACTAATGATCTCTACAGAGACACACAGTGTGTTCTAAAACAACGCTGCTTCTTTCTTTCCATTTCTACTAAATATTATAAATATTTTGTTGAAGCGTAACTTCTGTTGGCAGCTACTAACTCGGTGTGGGAGTTTCATCAGAGTCTTAGTTAGTAGCTGCCCAACTTTGTGAAGAAGTTAATTGTGTCGTGTGTTTTGAGGCACTAGTTTGTTTTAGTTATTTTTTTTGTTATGTGTGGATATTTAATTTTGGCGCAGGAGTCTAGCGTTGATTTCTGCTAGTTAGCGTTGGACATGCTGTTCGCCTTCGTTTGGTTCTTTGATGTTTAGCAACATCCAGCAGCTTTCTTTGTGTCGTCACCGTTCTGTTATGTTTATTTAGGTTACTAAATTGTGTTACCTGAACCATTTCCATCTGGTTTTCGTTACATCCAGCTGACCCTAGAGGCTGGATCGTAACAGATAGCTTGTGAGGATGCATCTTAGTGAAGTAGTGTTGGCGTAATAGTCTATGCATGTAGCCTGTATTAAGTGCAGTTTTGAATTCATTTTGAAAAGGTTTTAAAACTAATTAGGAAATATTTTTAAAGTAACAATTGACGATAATGTTCAACTGCTTACTAAAATCGGACAGGGACGGTTACTTCAGTTCAAGTTGCCACCGCTGTCAGTGAAAACTGCATCGTGCCAAACAGGAATGGAACAACCGACGTGAACAGTGACTAAAAGGGGCGTCGCTTAGTGAACGTCACAGAGATTTCCCATCAAATCTGACCTGATGGTTTTTATACAATCATCTAAAGAATCCCACCATATGTCGGTCAGTGCAGGATGACGTGTGATACAAACTCACTACATACAGAAACCAAACCTCGTCCTCTATGTCTGGGTTTCTATTTTTCTGTTCACTGATGTTGCTCACAAGTTGTGGGCCAGGCACAAAAAAACCCAAAAACTTTTTATTAACCTCTGGCTAAAACCTCAAAAGAGAAACTTTAAATTAACTTGAAATTTGTTTTATTTTCCAACACTGAGTAAACGTGTGTATAAATCTGCGTAGGTGTCAATAACCTTCTTCCCGCTGCACGCGCTGTGTGAAATATGCTCTCCAATCTCTCTCTAGCTTCACAGCTGCATTGTAGAACACGTCCCTGAGAAGTTAAAGTGTTTATAAAGCCTCCTAGATATGTATTCGCCAGTGCTGTTTGTAAGACAAATACCTCAGATCACAGCCGCGATAAAATAAACTGAAATGTGCGGCCGGGTAGAGAAAAGTTTCTGAAGTTTCTTTTTTTTTTTTTTTTTTTCTTTTTTTTTTTTTTGTCTTCCTGACCTTGAGGATAAGTGGCGACGTGGGTTTGAGCTCCAGGACGCCGGAGGGACTCAGCGGCTCAAACACGGGGTCGGGGTAGTAGCTGAATGTCTCGTTGACCACCACCAGAGCGTTCACGTTGTCCATGTAGAACCCGATCTCATCCGGGCCGGTGCCGGTCTCGGAAAAGCCGAGCTCCGAGTCCGCCACCGACGGAGCGAGGCACACCATGACCGAGTTGTTGTACACGGTGCAGTTCTGAAACGGACACAAAGAACAAGAAATCAGTCGTGGCTGTTGGTTTTAAGTCATTGGGAGAAGTTATGGTATGTTATCTTGGGTATCTCTAATGCATTTTTAAATATTCAGATTGTAATGTCATCGTTCTATTTACAAAAACGGTTAGACGCCGAGCAAAACAGGCGCCGCTGCCTCTTTTAGAAACACCAAGAATAACCTGCAGGCTATAATTTTCTTTTAAAATGGATCTGTTGGGTATAATAACCCATCCTTTTTGTAAGTCAATGCCCTGTGAAACTACAGTGCTGTTAGACCTATTGGAAATGTAAATTGGTTGCAAATTTATGATCAACTGTTAATAACGGGCAATGTGCTCTGTGCCTTTGCTTGTGCCGAGCGGTATTTACATCATTGCTTTGGAGAATACATGAATACGTGATGTCACGGCCGTGCTTGGATCAATTTATAGGACCGCTCGGAGGACCACGCTATCATGTGTTGGAACAAATTAAAAAAAGAAGCCTATTAATTGACCTTGATGAAGATGTATATGGTTCCATTGCTGTGGATTAGTGGTGCCACTTGGACGAAGCTAAATGCTAACATGACGTCCACTGTGATTGATTTTCTATCTCACGCGTGGTGTTTGTTATGCTGCGCTGGAACAAACCGAACTCCGATTTGTCGTAAATGGGTGACAACATTCAAAAAACATGGTCCCCTCTAAGTGCAAAGCAGTACTTTGATAAAGGGCTATGTGGGATGCATCACGCGGGCTGTTTGCCTCAATAAACGACGGCTTTATCTGCAGGTTCAAGTGCCTTAGTTCTGTTTGGAGTTCAGTTCTTAACCCTGACAAGTGAAGAGCTTTAACTCACTGTGACAATCGCCAAAGTGCTCTGTGAGCGTTTTCTACAGAACTGATGAAACTCTTCAACCCTTTAAATGGGACTTCAGGTTTGCATGGATTGTTTTTTTTGCCCCGTTTCTTCTTCATTCTCCTAAAACATTTTCTACTCGCACACAGAGAATCTCTCATGTTGGGGCTGTGGTTTTAGTTTTAGTTTTTTTTCCCTGACACAAACACTCATGAGGAGTGGTGACATTTGAAAAGCTATATGGCCTGAGGTAGCGTTAGATGTCTGAAGCTGTAGCTCGAGAAAGAGGAGACGCCAGCAACACACTGAGACAGACTGTCTGCCACCTTCAGCGGCGCAGAAATAGTCGCTTGTAGATTTGCATGTGGAGGGTTCTATCTGAATGTATTTGGCGGTTAATGAATGTATGTATGTGTAAATCTGAATAATGCATACTGTATGTACTGCGTGCCGGCTTCGTGTTAGCGAGTTCAGGTTTGTGCAGCATAAGCTTGCGCATGCTGCCGGGTGTGTCTTTAAATCTGGCCCCGTCGGTTAGTGCATGTCAGTCACATCAACACTTACATGAAAGGATTCTGCCTGGCCGTACTTGGCCCTGATCTTTGGCTCTCGAATGGTTGCGAGGTTGGTCCCACTCACTGTCAGCAGAGTCCCACCACTTCAGAGGAGAAAGAGAAGACACAAAAAGAACAGAGTAGTAGGATGAGTAAAAAAAAAGAAATGACCTCCAAGGATAAAAACAAATCTCTGTGGTGTTTCTGATTGGTTGCAGCCAAATTTTTACAGCTACGAATTATCTCCTGCCGCCTATGTAACTAAAAATGTAAAGGCGGCATGCAAATGTTCTTCTGACTTTGAGGACGAAAATTAAAAACCTCATTTCAGTATAAACGAGCCAACTGTGCACAAAACGTTTTTGAGAGGGCTGTTCAGTCAGTGACAGATCCTCCACCGCCGAGTTACACCTTAGTCTGGAGGGGCTTTGAAGGACAGTGATTAGAGAGTGACCAGCACCACAGACACTGCTTTGTTGTCTGTGATGTTGGCATGGACCAACATTTGGATGGACGTTTCCAACACCTTGTCCCCCAAACTGTCCGCCATCTTCCCCGAGCCCTTCAGGAATCGTGGGACAACCTTCCACAAACCAGCCTCTCGAACTTCATGAGTTGCAGATATGTGCCTTATCTACTGGCTGATTATTTCTGCTCCATCTGCCCATTGTCGTTTCCAGCATACCTCCATGCTGTTGTACAGATGTTGGGTACTAGAACAAGAAATACTTATTCCCCTGAGTTAAAAAGAGTGGATAGACTCTAACAAAGTGCCGCATTTTTGTTCAGCGTACTTGGAAAACGGACGTTTCCGCAGCGAGCGATGGTGTGACCAACGTTCCCAAAGATGATGGATGGAGAGAATGATTTGCATCCGAAACTTTATTCGGACACCGGAGGTCAAGGTTCACATCATGAGGTGTGATTACTGTGTGCGGTCGAGTTTATAACACTTGGGGCGAAGTTTAAATGTTAATAACATGCTTTAAGGCACCAAGGACTTTTGCTGCTGTATTAAACTCAGACCACAATGGTTCCCTGCTAAGTGCTGTGCCAAATGCAACCATAAAAAGTATTTATATTGCTGCAGATCCTACAAGCAGATACTGTACTGTCAAAAAAAACAAACCAAAAGCATACACTGGCATTGAATGGTTCACTGACAGCGTAAAGAAAGTATGTAGAAAGTTGCAAGGGCACAATAATTCACATTATTCTTTATTACGTTAAAAGAAAATAGAAGCCAGGTGGCATTATGTTTCATCAAAAATATATTTACTTTGGCAAATTAGTATGGTGCGAATGTAATTTCTACGAGGCAATTTTGATTAACATGAAAAACAATGTAAGGAGCAGAATTAATGTGGACAATCGCACGAGCAAAATATATGTATATTTTATAAAAAGAGTGGAGTTCAGCATTATGTCTGCGCAGCTATTATTAAAAGCATCGCAGTAAATAAAGAAAGTTTGCTCCAAGTTTTGAGTGAAGCGCCCTGGGCATGAGTTAGGGTTTATGGAACCCTTTATAAGCAAATTTACAGGGAAAAGGAGAGACAATAAGAACAAATGTGTGAAAGTGGGTGAGAGGAAAAAAAGGAAAAGAAGGAAGAATGAGAAGCTGAGTCGGGGAGGAAGATCTACAGACATGTACATGCTTTAATCACAGCTCCATCTACATTAAATATGTGTTTGCCTTGAGGTGGTGAAGGTCACTGGACTGAATACAGTAAATCACAATCCCAGAACTTGGCTGAAGCCCCAAGTGTCATTCTGTTAGTGAGTAGTGTGTGAAGCCAGACCAATACCCTCCTGGCGTAGGGCATCTGCTTGGATCAGTTCTTAACTCTCCAAAGCGTACTGGCGGGTTTTGGGTTTCAAAGGCAGGTTATTTTCTGAAATTCACCAAAATGACACCATTGATCAGAACCAAAAACTCCAAAAAGAGGAAGAATTGTTGGATTTTCTACTGTCCTTCAACATCTGTGATTTGGCATTCCTTGAGAAACTGTAACTGTAACCAGAGCAGAGAGGAAACACGTATGGAAACAAATTCAAAATGTAAGTAGTGAAATATCTGAGGGGTTCAGTGCCAAAGCCGGCTAAAGCACAAAGAATCCAAAGTAGAGTTTTATTGTGTTTATGGTCGACTAGTTCGTGGCAAAGTGGTCCAACCAACAGCCCACTAGTAATGTCACAATGCCGCTTTGATGTTTGGCCCATGATGGTTTTGGCATAAAAATGTAGTTACTATATTATTATTATTATGTTATATTATGTCGCGGGTGCAGGTAGCTGCACGTGTTTGCGATTCAAGATGGCAAAAACTCAACTCGTAGGTATGGTGAGGTAAAATAAAAACTTAATGAACCACCACCAAGCATCTGTTTCTACCCCATGGTCCTCAAAAGTCTTTCTAGTTCTTGTGATGACCCATGTAAACTCTTTAATGCTGTTTAGCAACTTTTTTTTCACAAAAAATAGAAAACGCTTTGGCACTCAGTAGAATTAAAACTTCAACAGTCATCACAAAGCAGCTGTTTCTGTCTCTGGACAGTGTTGAAACATCTTTAGATGCATGTAATGACTCCTCCAACAACCAGGATTGTTTTTTAGCAACACAAAATTTCGACTCCATTTTCCTCTAAAACTGGTAAATGTGGTTTGGTCCACTTTGGCGTTAACCCCCTCATCTATACCATAGACTGTATAAAAGATGGACGTAGCAACCAGCCCTGAAAAATGAAGCTAACCTGGACGTGTCAAAAACCTGCAATATCACTACGTCCGCTAGTCCTGGCTCCAAAAAGCCCTGGCTCCCATAGACTGGAATTGGAAAAGAAGTGATCACAGATCATGAAATACTGCATTCCTACAGCTCAGGATTTGTTTCTTATTAGTTCTCAAAGTCAAATCTAGAGATCAGGTGGCNGCACCAAAAGTGAATTCTTCTCGTTGTTTAAGAGTTTCTTGAAGACGTTCCACCTCTCATCCAAGAGGCTTCATCGGTTCTGCCTGACTAGTTGGGAGTTCCGGATACTTATATCCTCATGGAGCAACTTCATAGACACCATACCAAACTGAGTCCACCTGTGATTTCCAATTAGCTGCATGAAGACGGTCACAACATGAACTATAAACACCAGAATCTTCTCAGTTTTTGACCTGCAGGTTGTGTCTGTCTGAGAAACGGAATCCGATTTATTTTATTTATTTGTTCCTTTCATGAAGGTAGACGACATAATTTGTACATAAATGCACTCTACATTTTCAAATCAACACCTCCATGATTGGAAAGGAGCAGCAAGAAGAAAAAAAATCTTGTGTTTGCCTGCCCCCTGTTTAAACATATAAAATGAGAAAACAAAAAAAAGATGGGCCGATATCACATACAGTTGATTTTCAGTAACCTACCCAATTACCGCTTTGATTATAATAACAAAACAAAATAAAACAAAGAAAATGAAAAAACAAACAAAACAAGTAAAATTTTACAACTCAACACAATTGATCCATAATGTCCAATTTAGGTTTCTAGTACATATTGACCATTTTTTTCTGTATTTGCACTTTTTAAAAAAAAAAAATCTATAAATATCTGTACAACCTTTTAAATCTTGTCGTTGGGAATTCCATATTTTTACACCAACAACTGAACTACACATCTGCTTCAAGGTAGTCCGAGCAGCCCGGTGCTTAAAATCAAATCTTCTTCTGTGATTTTCATCTTCTGAAGTAAAACACAAACAACTTTTGCAGGTTTCCTGGTAAAACTCTGTTTTCAACATAATTAGTAACGTCTGGAGTTCTATCAGGGCTGCAAGGTGGTTCAGTGGTTAGCACTGTTGCCACGTAGCAAGAAGGTCGCCGGTTTGCGTCCCGGTGAGGACACCTGGGATCTTTCTGTGTGGAGTTTCCATGTTCTCCCCGTGCAGCGTGGGTTCTCTCCAGGTTCTCCAACTTCCTCCCACACAGTCCAAAAACATGTTGAGGTTAANCAAACAGTCAAAATCAAATACTTTAGAGAGACTATACTAAAAATGGAGGCACCAAAAGTGAATTCTTCTCGTTGTTTAAGAGTTCCTTGAAGACGTTCCACCTCTCATCCAAGAGGCTTCATCGGTTCTGCCTGACTAGTTGGGACCAGATACTTATATCCTCATTGAGCCATCCTCACAGAAAACAGAAGTGAATCCACCTGTGATCACTGACACCAAACCTGTGATTTCCAATTAGCTGCATGAAGATGGTCACAACATGAACTACAAACACCAGAACCTTCTCAGTTTTTGACCTGCAGGTTGTGTCTGTCTGAGAAACGGAATCTGATTTATTTTTTATTTTATTTATTTGTTCCTTTCATGAAGGTAGACAACATACATAAATGCACTCTACATTTTCAAATCAGCACCTCCATGATTGGAACGGAGCAGCGAGAAGAAAAAAAATGTCTTGTATTTGCCTGCCCCCTGTTTAAACAAATAAAATGAGAAAACAAAAAAAAAGAAAGAAAAGATGGTCCGATATGACATCCAGTTGATTTTCAGTAACCTACCCAATTACCACTTTGATTATAATAACAAAACGAAATAAAACAAAGAAAATGAAAAAACAAACAAAACAAGTAAAATTTTACAACTCAACACAATTGATCCTTAATGTCCAATTTAGGTTTCTAGTACATATTGACAATTTTTTCTATGTTTGCACTTTTTAAAAAAAAAAAATCTATAAATATCTGTACAACCTTTTAAATCTTGTCGTTGGGAATTCCATATTTTTACACCAACAACTGAAACACACATCTGTTTCAAGGTAGTCCGAGCAGCCTGGTGCTTAAAATCAAATCTTCTTCTATGATTTTCATCTTCTGAAGTAAACACAAACAACTTCTGCAGGTTTCCTGGTAAAACTCTGTTTTTGGCTTTCAACATAATTAGTAACGTCTGGAGTTCTATTAGGTGCAGTTGGTTAGCACTGTTGCCTCGTAGCAAGAAGGTCGCCGGTTCGCATCCCAGTGGGGGCACCGGGATCTTTCTGCGTGGAGTCTCCATGTTCTCCCCGTGCAGCGTGGGTT